GTAGTGGGCAGGTGATGAAGTGTAACCAGCTTCCTCAAAATATCTCACGAACGGACGGATGCCATCGTGATAAGCTGTCTGTTCAACGGCTGAGATCAAAATAGGGGCTTGTATCGTGCGTGCAACTGGCTGTTACTACTTGCAATTGGGCAGGCTGTCGAGGTAGTAAGACCAAATTCGCGTGCAGTCGCTGAGCATCCTGTGTACTCACCATGATTTTCTTCCGTTCCGTGGCCCTAGCAGTACAGCAGTTCCACACGAGGGCTGGGTACAACAGTCCCACAGACGGTTGCCTTTCTTGCTTGCCTTTGCCAGCTCGGTTGCAGCAGCACTGCCTGTCCAAGAAAGGCAAGCATGAAACGAAGACCAAATCTAGAGCGAAATACTGTAGAGCCATGTTCAGCGATTCATTTTTTCTCGCGTGGTTTCGAATTACTCGAGTGGCCACCAGAATTGGTGATAATTACTCGAGTGGCCACGCCAGGGTATTCCCGCACGCTTCTTTCTTGGCGCATTACCCTACGGGGGCTTGTAGTCCGGAAAGATTTGGAATAATTATTGCGCGACCTTCAGTATCCGAAATGTATGTTCGTGACATATGACCGCGCCTGATTGGACGCGCATTGCCAAAAAAGGCACCACGCATATAATTGACTAATCATGCGCGGTCATTAAATCCCGCTCATTGACGCCCGGGCATCGCAGTTTATGATCGAGGAAAGATATGATCGGGCATTAATATATGATCCTCGCGACCATTAATGGCCGCGCATGATTGGTCGATTATATGCGCGTCCAGTCAGGCGCGGTCATATAGGGTCGCGAACATAAAATTCGGATATTAATGATCGCGCAATAACCCCCGTAGGGAAACGCGCCGGGTAAAAAAAGCGTGCGGGAATCCCCTGGCATGGCCTCTCGAGTAATTATCTCCAATTCTGATGGCCACTCGAGTAGTTCAAAGTCATGCGAGTAAGAAGGAATCACCAAACATGGCTCTATAGCAATTCTCTTCTAAACCTATCTTTCAGAGCAACCGTAGCGCTCGTGGAACAACCGAATAGGATCCATTCCACGGTTTGGCAGAGCGAGCTACTGTATATGTGCGTCTTGCACTGCTTCCCATACCCAGAGATCGACCAGCTCGCTTGTGTGTGCCTGTGGCGTTACATCTGATCGGATCATCATGATCTGGTGGTGATCGTCCCAATGGCGGCAGCTTCGCTGGCTGGTTCATTTCACACTCTGTCGAATCACTGCATCGAGCGACACGTAAGCAGCGCAGCAACCACACAACTGCGATGGGGTTTTGTTTTTGTGGCTGCTGGTAAGGGAGGGGGCGGGGGATGGGGAATGGGGAAGGGGAAGTGGACAAGCCGAGGAGCTGTCGGACGCCGAGGGGAGGGGATTGAGGGGGGGAACTACAGTCTAACGACGTGTTGCGACCCACATGGGCCGGGTCGACCGGCCCCTGACACTTCATTTCTAGGAAGGCTGCTTCGCGGGTCTAGCCGACCAGGTCGTCCCAACCAGGTCGGGTCGACCGGGTCGACCAGACCTAAATCAACCGAGTTGAAGCAGGTTACCTGATCCTACGAAATTCGCAGATCTCGCGCAGCAATCGCCCTAATATCGCCGCCCGAAAAGATACCAGGTAAACTCGCACAAATCTTGCCATAGCTCGCCACAGGTCGCTCAGGCCACCATTTCCTCGCGTGGCAACTGCTTCGCATCACTCTCGAAGATGTTAGGAAAAAGCTGAGAATTTTTCAAATTCTCCAAATCGCGTTTCCGAGGGTTTGGTCGGGTGGGGTCTGGTCGACCAGGTCGTCCCGACCAGACCCAATCCGTGTGGGTCGCAACACGTCGTAAAGTTGAATGTCGGGTGATGTAATTTACCGAATTGAATGGTCTTCTACCTTACTGAATCGTAAAAAACCGTATTGTGATCATCAGGGAACTCCTCTCTCACCTCGCTCGAGTCGAGACTCGAGAGGCAAGGAGACTGAAAAAAATCCAGTTCCCAACGTTGGACGCGTCACCGCACGGTAAAAGTAGAAATAGAAAGGGTGCAGTTTGGTTGCGATTTCTCGATATTGTCAACTTGAACCTCATCTTCAACTCATGTCCAGCGAAAGGCTGGCTGGCGGTGGGATGACCGAGATGAGATGACACGGCGTAGACGCGTAGCAAATCCAATACACCTCGCATTCACCAATGGACGATGGAGTGACGGTGGATAGAGGCGGACAACTTGAGCTCCAGGAGCATGAACCACAATTAATGGCGCTCGTACAGTACGCATCGGCTTCCCTACTACGTGTGCTTCCTCTCACTCACTCCTAGATCGTTTCAGATTTAGCGAAACTGTTTCATGACCAATTTGTGCAAGGGAACGGAATGAAGGTCCTTCTGAATCCTTAGGGCGTGTCCAGCTCGTTCATTTCGGGATTTTTCGGCCAGCGCACGTATCGAGGTTCTAAAATGACCACCGTACCTAGAAACGAATGCATTGTGAGTGGTGTCCAACCCTCCTGTAATTTCAGAAGCGCGTACACATCCCCGCCACACGAATCAACAGTGCTCTGACCACGTTGAAAACGAGGTAACAGTTTCCCTCGTCAAACATACCTTGAAAATTTTTGTGCAGGCGCAGGGGGCGTTGGCGAGTGGAGCGAACCACTGACGAAATCGTGCAAGCGATAAAAGGGACACGAACTGTAGTGGGCAGGACGCGGTGCTGTACCCTTGTTCGCGTCCCTGCTGATTCCAGTAACGTGAGTCAGACGACTCTAGGTACGTGCAGGGAGCGTGCCGTCTTGTGAACAAAAGCTGATTGTGTCCGCTGGACACGTTCAATAAAGGGTTACCACAAAAAATGTGGTAACTGAGGGGGTTGACGAGATGAGATGACACGGCGTAGACGCGTAGCAAATCCAATACACCTCGCATTCACCAATGGACGATGGAGTGACGGTGGATAGAGGCGGACAACTTGAGCTCCAGGAGCATGAACCACAATTAATGGCGCTCGTACAGTACGCATCGGCTTCCCTACTACGTGTGCTTCCTCTCACTCACTCCTAGATCGTTTCAGATTTAGCGAAACTGCTTCATGACCAATTTGTGCAAGGGAACGGAATGAAGGTCCTTCTGAATCCTTATGGCCCACCTCAAAGCTCTCCCACTCTCACGAGTCACGTCAGTGGATGCAGCCAGAGAGCAGCAGTCACCGATTTCGTTACTTCAAGGCGAAACGCCCGTGGCCGCTTTGCCCATTAGACACCAGCTGAGTGACCTCAGACCACTATAGTTAGAGACTCGCCTAACCCAGCAATTAATCCGCTCTGTATTCTAGAGACGCACGGGTCCTTCTTGACATTGAAACTGCCGCAGCATCATCAACCGCACGTTGACTCTACTAGGTCAACGCAATTTGCTCCTTATAAGCATCGGCAGCTGCACCACTCTGTCCTTCTAACGACATCGTCGTGGCTCCAGCAGTCTCACTGGGCTGTAGCAGGGGTGCTGCGATCATCGTTATGGCGGACTGCGCCTCGCCCTTCAGTTTCCCCTCCCCGCACGACGCGCCGCGTGTCACGCGAGATGGCTCTGCTACAATCGGCGGTTTTCCAGAGGGCAGTGAGAGAACAAGAGCGTCAGGGGTCTTTGCGTCGTCGGCGTTTTCACGGCAGCGCGTCACGACGACAGGCGCGTCAGCCTGGCCGTCTAGTGCGAGTTCGTTTGACGATCTGCCGGTGACGGAGTCCGTCGAAGTGACAGACGGCTCCAACAGCTCCGTCCCTGAAGTTGCGGAGCGTCAAACTGCGGGATTGTCTGCTCCAGCGCCTGCACCTGTCTCTGCGCCAATTACGGCGCCAATCGCCGCGCCAGTCCGCGCTCCAACTTCCCCGCCAGTCCCCTTGTCAATCCCCGCGCCAGTCCCCGCGCCAATCGCCGCGCCAGCAGCTATTGACCCGGAAAAGCTGGAAGCATTTCAGCTGAAAATTCTCTCCTCCATCACTTATCAGCGCCGGGCCGAATCACAACACGGCACGACTCTTGCGGGACTCGCGCCGCCACATCAGCCGGACGTCTCTCCACTTCGCTGTCTTAGTCCGCGGAACGGCGGCGGCGGCTCCTCTTCCGCTGACAGCCGCCATTTTCCGCGCTTCTCTCCTCTGCCGTACCCGCGGAGTCCCCGGCCGTCGCGGCAGCAAGTTCCGGCTTCCGCGGCGGCAAGTTTCAAGGCGCGTCAGGACCAACTACTAACGACGGCGTCGCCTTCGGTTCCGACCTCAGACCTTGAAGTATGTTCGGGGTTAGAATCTACCACGCTCGTACTTCCCAGAAGCGCAACGACTACTAGCACTACCAGTACTGCTAGTACCAGCAGTAGTAATATCAGTGCAGGTGGTTACGAATGTTTTTCGCTAGGGAAGTTGCGAATGTTGTCGCTTCCCTTCCCCAAGTCCGTCACCTGCCCGCCGGAAGCTGCGACGACCGTTTCCGCAGCGGCGGCTTGCGCCACTAGCGCCGCCGGGTCCGCCGCTTCCGCTTTTGAAGGGTCTCTTCCATCCCCTGCCGCTGGCGCAAGCGCTGGCGCGGGCGCGGGCGTGGTCGCAGGCGCGAAACCGTCCTCCTCCGCCGCTCGCGCCGCTCTTCCCGCAGGGGATTCCGACGCGGAACCGCTATTTGTCAGATTCTCCCGCGCGTCGTCGTGTGGGAACCTGTCTTCTCTCCAGTCCGCCGTTTCCCCGTCCCCGCGCCGTCAGCGGACCGTTCCGCGCGAGAAACCGGTTCTTCCTCAGTGGATAAGTGTACGCGCCACCGCTGCCACCTCCGCCGCCGCCGCGGCCGCCGCTACAATTGCTTCCGCGGCGTCCGCGGAAATCGCGGCTGGGGTATATCCGGGGAGCGCCGGCGGCCGGCAAAGACGGGCGTTCGACGCGGCCGTTGCGCCACCTTCTCCACCGCTTTCGCCGTCGCGTGCCGCGCGCATGGCGCAGCGTTTCCGCGCGGGGGTGGTGGCGCAGATGGTGCGCCAGTCGCAGTGCGTGCAGCTGGTCGTGCGGCCCGCCGATGGCGCCGTGACTTGCGCCAGCCGCGGCGCGGAGAGGGTGTTGCGCGCAGAAAAGGGGCGGCTGGAAGGGGTGAGTGCGCGAGTGAAGGAGAGTGAGTGAGAGACTGAGGGGCCGAGTAAAAGAGTGGGGGGCTGGGTGAGTGTGTGAGTGAGGGGGTGACTGTGTGTTTGAGCTCCCAATGTACGAGTTTCTCTCCCCAATCCCTCTCTCCATTCCTCCATTCCTCTCCCCTCCTCTCTCCCCTTCCATCCCCTCGACTTCTCTCGTTTCTCTCTCCCCCAATTTGATCCCACCACCGTATTTTCCACCAACCCCTCTCTTCCCACTTCTCCAATTCTCCCCCCTCCCCACTCCCCTTTCCATTCCTTTCCCCTTGCTTTCTCTCGTTTCTACATTTAGGTCGACTAAAATTCCGCCCCTGCTTTTTCCCCCACCACCACCCTGAAATCTCAACTTTTTTCCTGCCCCCGTTTCTATTTCCGGAACCCACACTCACCCTCCACCCCCCTTCCCCCCAACTCTCTTACACGCTTCCTCTGCCGCTCCACCACTCGCGCCGCCTTCGCCCTCCTCCCTGTCGACCCGTTGCCCATCCCTCAGAGCTCCTTTCTTGGAATGGCGGGTAGTGCGTTGCCTTTGGACACGTGGCGGCATCTCGTTGGCCAGCTGGAGAGCGGCAGTGTGGACGTGGTAACCCTATCTCTGCCGCTGCGGCGTTGCAATGATGGGCATGGACCAACGTTAGTATCAGCTGCACCAGCACCAGCAGCACCGGAAGCAGCAGCAGCAGCAGCTGAAGCAGCAACATCAGCAGCAGCAGCAGCAGCAGCAGCAGCAGCAGCAGATGCAGCAGCATTAAAACCCACTGCGTCAGCTGTGACCCCCCCCTCCGCGCCCCCTCTCTTGCGCCCTGAGGCGCACGTTCCGCGCACAGGCGCGCAGTGGCTGTACCGCTGGATGGTGGGGCGGGAGAAGCGCGCCGGGGGGAAGGGGAAGGGCGCAAGGGGGGAGGGGAAGGGCGCTGGGGGGGAGGAGGGGGAGGAGCGCGAGGAGAAGGGAGAGGGGAGGGAGGAGCGTGAGGAGAGGAAGGAGCGGAGGGAGGAGGAGGTGGAGGAGGAGGAAAACAAGGAGAGGCAGCAGCAGCCACAGCGGCAAGGCCAGAGGCAGCAGCAGCAGCAGCAGGGTCAGCAGGGGTTGGGGCAGCAGGAGCAGCAGGAGCAGCAGGGGCAGGAGAGGGAGTGGTTGGTGCCGGTGTGCATTCAGTTCTTTGAAGTTGGGCCGTGCAAAGACCTCGTCATAACAGGTGTGCTCTCCTTCCTCGTCATAACAGGTGTGCTCTCCTTCCTCGTCATAACAGGTGTGCTCTCCTTCCCTGTGTTTGCTATCGCCTGCTCTCTGCTCTTCTCACACCTCTGCTGCTCTACTCTCACCTCGCCTGCTCTGCTCTACTCACACCTGAGTTGTCTCCAATCTTGTTCTCCTTCTATGCCTGGTCTTCGCCTCTCCTCTACTTTCTGGTTTTCTTTTCTGGTTGTCCTCACTCTTCATTTCTGCTCTGGTTATCTCTCCTCGTCCCTCCTCCTTTTTCACTCCTTGGCAGTCTTAACACCCCCCGAGGGCGCTTCACGTATTTCTGAACCATTGCCTCGGCACCTTCCCGAAGCTAAGCACGAGGCTCGGAAGCAGTCCCAAGCCACACGTCCGGCAGTTGTGCACGAAGCAAAGAGCCACCACACTTGCAATGATGCTGACAGTCCTCCACTGGTGACGAAGCAGACCGAACCTCACACCGAGCCTCTCTTTCAGGTTCGGAAGCATCCCGCACCGGAGATAACCCAAGCTGTGGCTCTGACATCCTCTGCTTCTGCTGCTGCCACCTTGGCGGAGCAATCTGCCAGCTCAGCTGACCCTTCTGCCAGCTCAGAAAACCCAGCTGCCAGCTCAGATGACCAGCCTGCCAGCTCAGCAGCAGGCAGCAGGGAGAGGAAGGGGGGAGTGAGCAAGCTGCAGCAAAACGTGTTCTCCACTCTCCACATACCTCTCGCGTCCCTCCCAACCAATCCTATTCTAGCTGCCCTCTCACAACCCAAAACTCCACCCACCAAGCCCGCGTCCCAAAGCAGAGGCGCAGGCTCGGTAGAGGGCTGGTTTCGGAGTCTGTACAGCGGCGGCAGGAGGAAAAAGACCCAGCAGAGCGTTCTCCCGATCCTGAACCGCCGAACCAACCGGGGAGGTTTGGGTGGTGGACGAGGGAGGGATGTGGAGGGTGCACGTGGGGAGACGATAGCTGAGATTGCGAATGCTGCTAAGGCAGCTTTTGCTGTTGCTGCTTCATCTACTGCTGCTGCTGTTGCTGCTGCTGCTGCGGCTCTAAACGAAGCCGCTGATTCAACCACCTTTTTGGAAACCAGTGCCAGCAGCACCCAAATCAGTTGCACCACCGTCACTACCAGTGCCCTTGAGACCTCTCAAAAGTCGTCTGTTGTAGTTGCTTCTGCTTCTACCACCCTCGTGGATTGCAGCCCTGCTTCTGTTACCTCTGCTTCTGTTCCCTCTGCTGCCGCTCCTGCTCCCTCTGCTGCCGCTCCTGCTCCCTCTGCTGCCGCTCCTGCTTCTATTTCGCAGTCTCCCCCTTCCCCTGTCTCTGCCTCTGCTGCTTTCCCTCTCCCTCTCCCTCTCTCGCCCCCTGCGTCCTCCCCCCTCTCTTCCTCCCCCCTCTCTTCCTCCCCCTTCTCTTCCGTCGCTCTCTCTTCCCTCGCCCCTGCCCCTGTCCCACTCTCTGCTCCCCTCTGTGCTCCTCCGACCCTCGCTTCTCCGACCCTCGCTTCTCCAACCCTCGCCCCGCCAACCCTCGCCCCGCCAACCCTCGCCCCTCCGACCCTCGCTTCTCCGACCCTCGCCCCTCCGACCCTCGCCCCTCCGACCCTCGCCCCTCCTGCTGCCGTCACTCCGAAACCCGCCTCACGGGTGGAAGCGGCGCCTGACAATTCCCTCCTTACCCTCGCCCCTCTTGGCCTCGCCTCTTCTGAATCTTACTCTGAGCTGCGAAAGGGCAAGCTCAGCACGTGGGACGTGGCGGTTGCACGGGGAACAACAGGGGCCGCTAAGGCAGAGGGGGACGAGGAGAAGCAAGCGGGAGAGACGGAGAAAGGGGCAGCAGCACAAGGGCGAGCGAGGGAGCAAGGAGGGAAGGGGGAGCAAGGGGAGCAGGCAGGGAAGGAGCAAGGGGAGCAGGGGGAGCAGGCAGGGAAGGAGCAAGGGGAGCAGGGGGGAAGGGACCAGCAGCACCAGAAGCCACCGCAGCCGCAGCAGCCGCAGCAGCCAGTGGGGATGCGGCGTATCCGAGTGGATCCATCTCAGAAGCCAAGGGGGGCGTCGGAGACATGGCTTTTGCATGACTTCAAGGAGCGACCCGGCAACCAGTTCAAGTTCCGCATGCTCTTTGAGCTCTCGTCTGTAAGTGCAGTGCTTTGAGGGACCTTAAAGCCCATCTGCCCCGCCTATCTTCCATGACATCCCGGCAACTAGTTCAAGCTCTTTGAGCTCTCGTCTGTGAGTGCGCTGCTTTGAGCTCTCCTCCGTGAGGGCAGTGCTTTGAGGTACCGTAATGCCCATTTGTTCCCTCTTTGAGGTACCGTAAAGCCCATTTGTTCCCTCTTTGAGGTACCGTAAAGCCCATTTGTTCCCTCTTTGAGGTACCGTAAAGCCCATTTGTTCCCTCTTTGAGGTACCGTAAAGCCCATTTGTTCCCTCTTTGAGGTACCGTAAAGCCCATTTGTTCCCTCTTTGAGGTACCGTAAAGCCCATTTGTTCCCTCTTTGAGGTACCGTAAAGCCCATTTGTTCCCTCTTTGAGGTACCGTAAAGCCCATTTGTTTGTTCCCTCTTTGAGGTACCGTAAAGCCCATTTGTTCCCTCTTTGAGGTACCGTAAAGCCCATTTGTTCCCTCTTTGAGGTACCGTAAAGCCCATTTGTTCCCTCTTTGAGGTACCGTAAAGCCCATTTGTTCCCTCTTTGAGGTACCGTAAAGCCCATTTGTTCCCTCTTTGAGGTACCGTAAAGCCCATTTGTTCCCTCTTTGAGGTACCGCAAAGCCCATTTGTTCCCTCTTTGAGGTACCGTAAAGCCCATTTGTTCCCTCTTTGAGGTACCGTAAAGCCCATTTGTTCCCTCTTTCTCTTCCATGACATCCCAGCAACCAGTTTCCTGTGAGAATTCTCAAGAGCGGTTCCTGTGGACTGCAATGCAAACAGGCGGCGGTGAGGATGGTTGACTTTTGAGTCGACTCAATAGAGCTGACTTTTGAGTCGACTCAAAAGAGCTGACTTATGAGTCGACTCAAAGAGCTGACTTATGAGTCGACTCAATAGTCTTTCCTGTGAGAATTCTCAAGAGCGGTTCCTGTGAACTGCGGTGGTAAGGATGGTCAAGGCGAGGAGCAAAGACCACTTGATCGGCCACACTTGTGCTGCACCTCTTTTGAGGCGCCTCAAAAAACGGCTATTGAGGCGCCTCAAAAAACGACTATTGAGGTGCCTCAGAAGGAGCAAAGGCCACTTGATCGGCCACACCTGTGCTGCACCTCTCATCCCACCCCCTCCCCCACCACCAACCCGCTCCTCTCCTCCTCAGGACCCCAAGATGCTTCTTAGCAAGGATGGCAGGCTCTTAGACTGCAATCAAGCGACAGTGAGGATGATCAAAGCGAGGAGCAAGGACCACCTCATAGGCCGCACCATCCAGTCGCTCTCTCTCTCTGTCCCTCCCTCTCAGTCCAACCCTCTCCCCCATCCGCACACCTCTCCCCTCCCCTTCAGGACCCCAAGATGCTTCTGAGCAAGGACGGACGGTTACTGGATTGCAATCAAGCGACGGTGAGGATGATAAAAGCGAGGAGCAAGGACCACCTCATAGGCCGCACCATCCAGTCGCTCTCGCCGCTGCTACAGCCGGGCACGGGCCAGCCTGCTACAGCCCTGCAGGCCATTCTCGACGAGCTCGCCGACAGCAACGCCGCCGGCAGCAGCAGCAGCAGCCCTCACAGCTGTAGCGGCGGCACCGGCTGCAGCAGCCCCAGCTGTAGCAACAGCAGAACCACCAGCAGCAGCAGCGGTGGCGGCGGTGGTGGCAGCGGCAGTGGGAGTGGAGCGTGCGATCTGCGGCGGTTTGAGTGGGTGTTTCAGGATGATGAGGGGGGAGTGCTGCCCGTTGAAGCCCTGTGTCGTCTCGTGGACCTCAGAGGAGACACCAGTCACCCTCAGTCCCAGCCCCATCCCTCCTCCTCCTCCTCCTCCTCCTCCTCCTCCTCCTCCTCCTCCTCCTCCTCCTCCTCCTCCTCCTCCTCCTCCTCCTCCTCCTCCTCCTCCTCCTCCTCCTCTCACTCCTCACACTCACGAGCAGCGGTCTACCTGATGGTGTGGCACGATCTGACGGAGGTGAAGCGCAAGGAGGCGTCCTTGGAGCGAGCCAAGCAGGAGGCGGAGCGGGCGAGGCAGGCGGCAGAGAGGGCGAGTCTCTCGAAGACACAGTTCCTGGCCAACATGAGCCACGAGATCCGGACCCCCATGAACGGTGAGATTCGCTCCCTGTGAATGGAATGGAGTGATAGTATGAACGGTGATGCTATGCTGTGTCAATAAGGCAGGGCGAGCCTGTCTGTGCAAGACGCAGTTTCTGCCCAATATGACCCATGAGATCAGAACGCCCATGAACAGAGGAGAGGACGAATCTGTCAGGTCGGGACGAATCTGTCAGGTCGGGACGAATCTGTCAGGTCGGGACGGAACTGCGCCTTTGACAGACTCGCCCTGGCCTGGCCTGGCACAGTTCCTGGCGAACATGAGCCGTGAAACCACTCCCCCTTCCCCCTTCCCCCTTCCCCTCTTCTTTCCCCTCCCTACTCTCGTCCACAGGAGTGATTGGCGTTGCAGACCTGCTGCTAGACACAGCTCTCAGCGAGGAGCAGCGCATGTTAGCAGAGACCATCCGCTCCTGCAACGCATGTTAGCAGAGACCATCCGCTCCTGCAACGCATGTTAGCAGAGACCATCCGCTCCTGCAACGCATGTTAGCAGAGACCATCCGCTCCTGCAGCGAGGGGCTTCTGCAGATCCTCTCCTCTCCTCTCCCACACGGCGCATCCCCCTTACCATATGCTCCCTGTTCCCTTACTCCCCACCACAGGGGTCATTGGGGTGGCAGACCTGCTTCTCGACACAGCTTTGAGCGAGGAGCAGCGCATGCTGGCCGAGACCATCCGTTCCTGTAGTGAGGGGCTGCTGCAGATCCTGTCGGACATCCTGGATTTGAGCAAGATAGAGAGCGATAAGATGGAGCTGGAAGCTACTCAGCTGGACGCCCGGCAGCACCTCAGCAGCTCCCTCGCTCTCTTCCGCACTGCCGTGCAAGACAAGGGCCTTCAGGTGGGTTCTGACAGGTCAAGAGGTGTGAGAATGATGTGGTTGGGGAGTGATGGATTTGAGCAAGATAGAGAGCGACAAGATGAAACTGAAGGCCACGCAGCTGGACGCCAGACAACACCTCAGCAGCTCGCTCGCGCTCTCTTTGACTCAGCAGCTCGCTCGCGCTCTTCCGCACCGCGGTCTTTCAGGTGCGCTCTTCCGCACCGCGGTCTTTCAGGTGCGCTCTTCCGCACCGCGGTCTTTCAGGTGCGCTCTTCCGCACCGCGGTCTTTCAGGTGTGCTCTTCCGCACCGCGGTCTTTCAGGTGCGCTCTTCCGCACCGCACGGCACCGCACCGCGGTCCAGGTCCAGGTCCAGGTCCAGGTCCAGGTCCAGGTCCAGGACAAGGGCCTTCAGGTGCGTCCTGCAGGGCAAGGCGAGGGGTGCAGCTGGTGCGTTGGTGCCGCTGACTTTTGAGTCGACTCAAAAGTCATAAAATGGAACTGGAGGCCACACAGCTGGCCAAGGTGCTGTATGTGCATCTGCAGCGAAAGGCAAGGGGTGCAGCTGGTGCGTTGGTGCAGGAGGTGTCATGTCAGGATGAGGTGGGTGCGGAATGAAGGGAAGAGCTAGGGCTGCTGCAGATCCTATCAGACATACTGGACCTGAGCAAGATAGAGAACGACAAGAGAGGAGTGAGGGGTAGGGAGAGATCCTATGGAGGGAGTTTCTGAGAATTCTCAAAAACTCCCTGCAACGAGGGGTAGGGAGAGATCCTATGGGACATACTGGATCTGAGCAAGATAGAGAACGACAGATGGAGCTGGAGGCTACACAGTTAGACACCAGGCAGCACCTCGTGATCTCACTTGCTCTCTTCCGCAATCCTGTTCAGGACAATATTGAAATCACTTTTGAGAATTCCCAAAAGTCACCTCGTGAACTCACTTGCTCTCTTCCGCACTTTTGTTCAGGACAAGGGGCTGCAGGTGGGTCTGGTCTGGGCTGTCGGGCTCTGTCGCTTTTGAGAAGTCTCATCTCATCATGTGAAACAAGGCAGAAGAACTAGTTGTGGCTTGTTCGAGGTGACACTTGTCTTTCGAGTCGTCTCAAAAGTCACCAGGTTCTGTCACTGACGTGTAGTCTCATCATATGAGACGTGGCAGAACTAGTCATGCTTGAATGTCCTCTCTTCTCAACCCGCCCCCTCTCCCATGCCCCCCTCTCCTCCCCCCTCTCCTCCTCATCCCCACACCCTCCCTCCCATCACACCTGGCAGCTGAACGTGAGGGTAGCACCAGACGTGCCGCACGCGGTGATGGCAGATGCAGTGCGGTTGAGGCAGGTGCTGCTGAACCTGGTGTCGAACGCCCTCAAGTTCACCCACCAAGGCCGCATCTCCGTCTCCCTCTCCCGCCTCCACTCCTGCCCCGGCTGCTGCTGCTGCTCCCCCTCCCCCTCCCCCTCCCCCTCCCCCGACCACCCGCACACGGAAGGGGAGAGCCAAGGCAAGGAGGGTATCAAATCCAGCGAAGAAGAGGGTGAGAGAGGCAAGGAAGGGGAAGAAACAGGCGGGGAGCAGGAAGGGAGAGGAGATGAGGAGGAGGAAGAGGAAGCAGCAGGCGAGGAGACGGGGTCTTTTGAGGCGCCTCAAAAGGAGACGGGGTCACGTGTGGTGCTGCAATACACAGTGGCGGACTCGGGCATCGGCATATCGCAGGAGGGGCAGAGCCGGCTGTTCCAGGCGTTCACCCAGGCGGACAGCAGCACGTGCAGGAGATTCGGCGGCACGGGGCTGGGCCTGGCTATCTGCCGCGCGCTGGTGACTCTCATGGGGGGGACGATCGAGCTGACGAGCAAGGAGGGCGAGGTGAGAAAGCGGCCCGTGGCACTAGTAGTAGCTACCAAGGTAAGAGCTCGTCTGCCTGGTGGTGCGTTCACCCAGGCAGACAGCAGCACATGTCGGAGATTCGGCGGCACGGGGCTGGGCCTTGCGATTTGTCGCGCGCTGGTGACTCTCTCATGGGAGGCACGATGGAGCTGAGGAGCAAGGAGGGCGAGGTGAGTCAGGAGGCGTGTAGGCCGTAGCACGTGTAGCAGAGATGGCTCTCTGGCACCGGGCTGGGCCTGGCCATCTGCAGAGCTCTCGTGACACGATCATGAGAGGCATGATCATGGGAGGCATGATCATGGGAGGCATGATCATGGGAGGCATGATCATGGGAGGCATGATCGAGCTCACGAGCAAGGAGGGCGAGGTGAGTCATCAGGCCTGTAGGCTGTTGTAGCACATCAAGCATGGTATGGTAAGCACCGGGCTGTAGGCTGTAGCACATCAAGCATGGTATGGTAAGCACTGGGCTGTAGGCTGTAGCACATCAAGCATGGTATGGTAAGCACCGGGCTGTAGGCTGTAGCACATCAAGCATGGTATGGTAAGCACCGGGCTGGGCACGCGGCTGGGCCTGGCTATTTGCCGGGCACTGGTGACGCTCATGGGAGGCACGATCGAGGTGAGGAGCAAGGAGGGCGAGGTGAGTGAGAGTGGCACAAGCAGTATGATGCATGGCAGCTGGTTCACCCAGGCGGTTAACGGACTTGTGTAGCAGGGCCAGTTTGTGGGAGAGATGGTTTGGAGGCACCGGGCTGGGCACCGGGCTGAGCACCGGGCTGAGCCTGGCTATCTGCAGAGCTCTCATGACACTCATGGGGGGGACGATTGAGCTGACGAGCAAAGAGGGCGAGGTGAGTGACGGCGGCACAAGCATGATGCAAGGCAGCTGGTTTCACTCTTTCTGTGAGGGCGAGGTGAGTGACGGCGGCACAAGCATGATGCAAGGCAGCTGGTTTCACTCTTTCTGTGAGGGCGAGGTGAGTGACGGCGGCACAAGCATGATGCAAGGCAGCTGGTTTCACTCTTTCTGTGAGGGCGAGGTGAGTGACGGCGCCACCAGGGTTTCTTGCTGTGTGGAACACTCAATTCTCATGATCCGCATCACATCACATACATATTCTCATGCTCGTTTCTCCCTTCCGCGTTCCCTCCTCCTCCTTGCCCATCCCCAGGGCTCGACTTTCTCTTTCACTGTCTGTGTGGGAGCACTCAAACACACCCCCGGCCAAGCCTCCACTGCTGCCGAGCCTGTCGAGTATGTCTGGAGCCGAACCTCTAGCTACAGCAGCGGCCGCAACAGCCTTGATCGGAACAGCACCAGCAACAGCAACAGCAACAGCAACAGCAACAGCAACAGCAACAGCAACAGCAAAAGCAGCAGCGTCGTTAGCAGCGTCGGCAGCGGCATGGGCAGCAGCATTATCGGCAGCATTGTTAGCAGTATTGGCACTGCGGATGGGCGCAAGAGGCGTGATTCTAAAGGGTGTGGTGTCAAGAAAGGTGACTCTAACGAGAGTGATACCAAGGCCTTCCCAGAGGAGGATAGCTGCGAAGAGATTCTTGAGTCGACTCGGAAAAGTAAAGAGGCCGCAAGGAGAGGGGATTATAATGAAGGCGCAAAGAGAGGAGATTGTAACGAAGGTACGATTAGGAGAGGAGATTGTAACGAAGGTACGATGAGGAGAGGAGATTGTAACGAAGGTACGATGAGGAGAGGAGATTCTAGTGATGCTGCTGCGCTGTGCCAGCAGACATATGAGGGTGAAAGCCTGGGGAGATTGGAGGAGGACGTAGGGAGAGAGGTGGAGGAGGAATTGGAGGAGGGGGACGTAGAAGAGGAGGAGGGGGCTGAGGAGAAGGAGAAGGAATCACGAGCATTCGGAGCAGGAAGGGCAGAAGCAGGAGCAGCAGCAGCAGCAGCAGCAGCAGTAGTCAGAGAAGCAGTTTTCACCAGGCTGGACGGTAGTGGGAGCAACGCTCGCACCAGTGTGAACCAGCAGTCACCGCAGGAGTCACCGCAGGATTTGTCGCAGGATTTGTCGCAGCTAGCATATACCCAAGAGCCCTCGTCTCCTCTCCTCCCACTCGCACCGGGGGAAGCAGTGGGAGCAGCCCGCGAGAGCACCCATGAAATCGCCTGTGACAGCACCCAGGTGTGCGCTCGTCTCTCGACTGAAGCGCCGCACTCTGAATCAGCTTTAGCTGGGGAAGGCGGAGGGGAGGCACGAGGAGTGCGGTTTTCTCTTGGGAGCGTGGTGCTTCCTGCTGGTGGTGCTGAGGTAGAGGGCATGGAGGGGTGCATGGATGGGCGGCTGGATGGGCGGCTGGATGGGCGGCTGGATGGGCGGCAGGATGGGCGGCAGGATGGGCGGCAGGATGGGCGGCAGGATGGGCGGCAGGATGGGCGGCAGGATGGGCGGCAGGATGCAGGGCTGCCTGGGGACCGGGCGGCTGGGTTACCGCGGCGGCGGGGAATGAGAGGAAGCTTCTCAGAAGGAGACATATTGTTGATGTGTGAGTTGGGGGAGATAGAATGTGACAGCCCGGGGGTGGAAGAGAGGGAGGGCGAAAGGAATCAGAATGCTGCCTCTGCGTTGCAACCACTCGCAACAGCAGCAGCAGGAGTGTCAGCAGGAGCTGCAGCAGCAGGGGGGGAACCACAGCAGCAGCCGCAGCAACAGCCGCAGCAAAAACCACAGCAGCAGCAGCAACAACCACAACAGCAGCAGCAGCAGCCGCAGCAGCATCAGCAGGTGCTGCGGGTGTTGGTAGCAGAGGACAATGCAGTGAACCAGCTGGTGGTGACTCGCATGCTCAGACGTTTGGGGCTGGACTGCCGAGTGGCCGACAATGGAGTGATGGCCGTGGATGCATGCAGGGAGGAGCGATTCGACCTCGTTCTCATGGTGAGTGCCTGTGGTGTGTGTCTGTGGTGTGTGTTTGTCTGCCGTCTGTGTGCATGTGTGGGAAAGGTAGCGCATGCTCAGACGTTTGGGGCTGGACTGCCGAGTGGCTGACAATGGAGTGATGGCTGTGGATGCATGCAGGAGCGATTCGACCTCGTTCTCATGGTGAGTGTTGTGGCATGCATGAGTGACAGTGGAGAGACAGGGGCCACAGGCGCATGCTCGGGTGCCTGCGGCTGGACTGATGGGTAGCTAATAATGGTCATGGCTGTGGATGCATGGAAGGAGGAGTGGTTTGACCTCGTTCTCATGGTGAGTGGTGTGCATGCTGTGTGCATGTGAGTGAGTGTGTGTGTGTGTGTGTCCCCATGTGTCCCCATGTGTGCACGTGTATTGCTTTTCAAATGCATAGAATACACTTTGGCACCTCCCTAAACTGCCCTACATTTTTAAGAGTGTAACCACTCAACAGCCTCTCGCTCTCCCTCACATATCCTCCCACCAACCAGGACTGCCACATGCCTGAGATGGACGGCCTAGAAGCCACGAGGAGGATCCGACGGATGGAAGCAGAGAGAACACGGGAGCAGCTGGTAGGGAGAAACACAGATTCGTGTACAGAAACAGGAGGCCCCACACAAGCCGCGCCAGCTCAAGAAACTGTTGGGAAGACTGATGGCGGGTGCGAGGCTGCTGGAATGACTGTTGGGGAAATCGTTGGGAAGACTGATGGAGATGTTAAGACGAGCGGACAGGAGCCGGCAAGCCGTAGCGGCGGCGTGATTGCGGCGCCAATGTTCATAGTAGCGTTGACTGCAAGTGCATTTGATTTCGAGCGGGAGGCGTGTTTCTCGGCCGGGATGAACCACTTCCTCACCAAGCCCATTCGCCCCAAGGACCTTCAGGGGCTTATCAAATTGCTGCAGGTGCCTGCGAAGATCTGAGCGCTGGTTTGTGGATGGACAGCCGACTTACGAGATGCCCCCATTATCTCGGCCGGGATGAACCACTTCCTCACCAAGCCCATTCGCCCCTAGGACCTTCAGGGGCTTATCGAATCGCTGCAGGTGCCTGCGAAAATCTAACTTCTGCTTTGTGTAAAGACTACGCTGGAGATGAGGTGAGGTGAGACCAGGGCTGACATTTCAAATTAGGCCTCCCTGATTCCGGGAAAAGTTCCCCCCCTGTATTATGGGTGCATATTTTCCAGCAAAACATCACCCTGATTGCTCAGTGTTCATACCGGCAAGTTATATAGTCTGATTGTTCAGGGTTGAGATGTCAGGATCAGTGTAGTAACACGCTGTGCATTATTGAAGCTGAACCTCGATGGTGGGTGTATAGGAACATAAGTTTGAAGAAGCTTTGTCCTGATAAAGCGGGGGCTACGCACATAAGGGTAATTCCTGGAAACTCCATTATGACCTCGATGGTGAATGTCGGAACAAAATTTCGAAGAAACTTCGACTCGATAATGTCTGATTCGGGGTTTGCTCACTCGCTACTGTACTGCGAGCAATCCGAAGGCGGGGTTATCGGAAGGAACGTTCCAAGAAACTTCCTTTCGATAAGGTCAAATTCAGGAACCACAGAGTCAGTGCTCTCTCAAAGCTCGCGCCCAAAATTGCGGGGCGCGCTGGCCAAGCTCACTAAGGTTGACGGGGGTGATGTTTTGGGTGTTGTTTGGGTTGCGAAGGGTGGTTACGAGAAGTGAGATGCAATCTGATTGGCTAGATAAGTTTGTCGAATGGGAGAGCAGGGAACCACAACAATATGTTGATTGGGTTGGGGTACAAATGCCTAACCCTAACTGTTTGTACCCCATATAGCATGACCCACTAGAGGCTATAATGTCGAACTTATATGCTATAGTCTGTGTAAGCTGTAGTGGGGTAGCTCATATGGGGTACAATACTTGAGGGTTTCTTACTTGTACTCATGCTGGTGAGGCTGCTGCTCCAGGTACTAGTGCGTCTGCTGCCCCAAGTGCTGGTGAGCCTGCTCTCTCAGGTACCACGTCGGCTCAGGCCTTGCACACCTTCACCGTTGACTCGGGTGCTTCCCACTCCTTCTTTTGAGACCGCACCACGCTTACGCCACTTAGTCGGCCGGTTGCGGTCTCCCTACCGGACCCCTCTGGGGGTCCTGTCCTTGCTAGCTTCTCCACTGTCTTACCGTGTCCGGCAGCCCCCTCTGGCACCCTGTCAGGTCTCTACCTCCCCTCGTTCTCTACGAACTTGGTGAGTGGAGCTGATCTACAGGATCGGGGGGTTAACCAGTTCACGCCTGCGAGTCAGCGGGTGACCCACTGTACGTGTGCTCGGACGGGCCGACACTTGGCCACGTTTACCCGTCAGCTGGGGTCGAGCCTGTACACACTGACCACTGAGTCTCCTCCTGTTGCTGAGTCTGGTCAGGTAGCTGCGTCGAGTCAGGTGTTTGCTGCAGTGTCCAGGTCTGGTCCTGAGTCTGCGCCCTGCTCGTGTCGTCTCCTGTCCCACCAGACTCTCCTTTGGCACCACCGCCTTGGTCACCCCTCCCCGCCTCGTCTCCGAGGCATGGCCTCACGTGTCCTTGTCTCTGGTCTCCCCCGGTCCATCCCTCCTCTACCTCCGGGGCCTGCCCCTACCTGCGTCCCCTGCGTCGAGGGGCGGCAGCGCGCCGCCCCTCACTCCTCCGAGTTTCCTCCGACAGAGGCTCCCTTGCAGACTCTTCACATGGACGTGTGGGGCCCCGCCCGCGTCCGTGGCCAGGGTCACGAGCGTTACTTTCTGTTGGTGATTGACGACTACTTGCGTTACACCACGGTGTTCCCCTTGCGCAGCAAGGGTGACGTCACTGAGGTGTTGATCGACTGGATCCGCGCAACTCGTCTCCAGCTCAGAGAGAGTTTCGGCTCGGACTTTCCTGTTCTGCGTCTGCACTCTGACAGAGGCGGGGAGTTTTCCTCTGCCCGTCTGGGAGCCTTCTGTCGTGCACAGGGCATCCGCCAGACCTTCACACTTCCGGCCTCTCCACAGCAAAATGGGATTGCTGAGCGCCGCATCGGCATGGTCATGGACGTCGCTCGTACGTCCATGATTCATGCGGCTGCTCCCCATTTTCTGTGGCCGTTTGTGGTTCAGTACGCAGCGCATCAGCTCAACCTTCAGCCCCGGGTCTCCTTGCCAGAGACCTCCCCCACCTTGCGGTGGACGGGAAAGGTTGGCGATGCGTCTGCGTTCGGGGTCTGGGGATCTCGGGCGTTTGTCCGCGACTTGTCTGCGGACAAGCTATCCTACCGTGTTGTTCCCTGTGTCTTCCTTGGCTTCCCCCCTGACGCGCCTGGTTGGCAGTTTTACCACCCCACCTCGCGCCGTGTTCTGTCCTCCCAGGACGTCACCTTTGACGAGTCGGTGCCTTACTACCGTCTCTTCCCCTACCGCACTGCACCCCTCCCCCCGCCGCCACTCTTCCTTGCGCCAGGTCCTCCCCCGGTAGACCCCCTCCCCCCTCAGGGTCCTGCCCCGTCAGGTGTGTCCCAGGTAGACGCAGTTGAGCCTGTCGAGGTAGCTGTTGACTCTGGTGCTGCTAGGGGCGCTGAGCCTGCGTGTGCCGGGTCTGGGGGTGCGGGGCCTGGGGGTGCTGAGTCAGGGGGTGCTGAGTCTGGGGGTGCTGAGCCTGGGGGTGCTGAGCCTTGGGGGTGCGGAGCCTGGGGGTTCTGAGCCTGGGGGTGAGGAGCCTGGGGGTGCTGGGTCTGCTCGTGTGGCCTCTGGCGGTGCTTCGTCGAGGCGGGAGCTACTCTCTCCGCAGGAGCTGCGCGAGTGGTTTGCCCGGCGCTGGAGCCGTGCTGCTGAAGCTGGAGGTACTACTGTTGCTGCTGGTCCTGGAGGTGCTCGTCCTGGCGGTTCTGGAGCTGCTGGGACTGGGAGTCCTGCTGGAGGTACTGGTGGAGCTGCTGGCGGTACTGGAGCTGACCGTCCTACTGGAGTTGGTGCTGCTGGAGCTAGAGCTGCTGGGGGTGTTGGCGCTGGTGGTTCTGCTGGCGCTGGTGCTTCTGAGGTTGCTGGAGTTGGCGCTGTTGGAGCTGGAGGTGCTGCTGGCGCTGGTGCTGCCGCTGGGGGTACTGGTGCTGTCCCTGCTGGTTCTGGAGGCGCTGCGCGGCCGAGACCGTACTTCGTTCCGCTCCTTGAGCAGGTTCTTGGTCTCCCGCCCTCTACTGGTCCTGCTCCACCCTTAGCGTGTCCACAGCCTGTCCAGTCGCGGTCACAGTTACAGCCCACCTCCCCCCTACCTGCTCCTTCTCCCTACACTGGTCCTACTGGAGGTCTTGCTGAGCGTCGTGAGCCTGCGTCTCGTCCTGCGTCGCCTGTTTGTGCTGCTCGCACTAGTGGTCGAGCTCCGCGTCCGCGTCCTCCTGCGGTCCCCGGCACACACGAGATGGCACTGCGTCCTTCCACTGCTCCTCTGCGTGTCCCGTTGCCGTCTCCTCCAGAGTCCTCTCTTCCTACTCTTGCTGACCCTGAGTCTGACTCTCTTCGTGCTGCCAGTCTTACTATCACGCGTCTCCTGGCTACTGTTGTCACTGACCCTTCTTTTGAGTCCACTGCTGCGTCTGCCTTAGTTGCTGAGCTTGTTGACTTTGCTGCTCACTGTCGTCTAGACTACGCTGCTAGTCTTGTTGCTGAGTCTGAGTCTGTCTGTCCTCCATCCGTCCGGGGTGAGTGTGCTCTTAGCACGGACGTCCTTGAGGACAGGCAGGAGGAGTTCCAGTGTTTTGCTGCTGCTTTGCCTCATCTCGTGTCCACGCTGATTGCCCCTGAGGGAGACCCGGATGCACCAAACATCCCGACTCCTCGATTGTACGCTGAGGCGATCGAGGGTCCCTACTCCTCACAGTGGCAGTCACCCATGGACGCAGAGATGGCTTCCTGGAAGTCCACAGGCACCTACGTTGACGAGGTTCCCCCACCTGGGGCGAACATCGTCAGTGGCATGTGGATTTTCAGGGTGAAGCGGCCGCCGTGTTCTCTGCCTTTCTTCAAGGCGCGTTACGTGGCTCGAGGCTTCAGCCACCGGCAGGGAGTTGACTACTTTCAGACCTTCTCCCCCACCCCGAAGATGAGGACTCTTCAGGTGCTGCTGCACGTAGCCGCTCAGCGCGACTACGAGCTTCACTCTCTTGACTTCAGCACTGCTTTTTTGCAGGGCAGCCTGCACGAGGAGATCTGGCTGCGCCGCCCACCTGGCTTCACTGGGTCGTTTCCTCCTGGTACCCAGTGGAGCCTCCGGCGGCCAGTCTACTGTCTCCGCGAGGTGCCCCGTGAGTGGCACGACACACTGAGGACTACACTTGCGGCTCTTGGGTTCGCTCCTTCTACTGCCGACCCGTCGCTGTTTCTGCGCACCGACACCTCTTTGCCGCCGTTCTACATCCTCGTGTACGTCGACGACTTGGTCTTTGCCATTGCTGACGCTGCTGGACTCGCTCACGTAAAGTTCGAGCTGCACAAGAGACACGTGCACAGACCTGGGTGAACTGCGCAGCTACCTTGGCTTGC